CGGATGATGTGAACACATTTGGGCGCTAGCAGGGATTTCCTAGAATCCACACTCACGCACAAGACAGTCCACACCGCAAGTAGACGTAGATGAGCGCTCGCGTAGTTCAGTTTCGCTATGACTGCGGGGGCACTTGATTGTCTTTATCAGGACAATTCGTAACGGACAGCCGTTAGTCCTGCAGTCAGTACAGGAGCCAGTCAGCCAGTCATTCAGTCAGCCAGTCAATCGACAGTCTGTAGTCGTTTGCCGCACAGTTTGGCATCAGAGTAGGAAAAAATATGTTGATTGGTACACATGATCACTTCCACTTTCGTCGGTGTTCACTTAATTACACGGGGAGAAGGTAGGAGGCGGGAGGGAGGAATCTCGAAAGAATCGTTTCTGTATTGTCGTCCTCGTGTCGTATTTGAACGGAGGACACGCGCGGAAGAGATATAAGAATTCGATGCCTTGTCATCATGACGGCAGATGTTGCAGGTTTTCGGAATTGTCGAGTCATGCCAAGCGTGTCTACGGCACTATCTCACCTGCTCATTCTCTACCTTACTTTTTTTTTTTTTTTTTTTTTTTTTTTTTTTTTTTCGTTCCTTTGGTGCGTCTTCGATCTGGGTAGGGTGCGGACGAGCGCGAACTATCACAGTTATCGCGCGTATGCAGTGAATGTTGTGGGAAAAATATCTGCTAAATAAATCTGCGGATCTGTATGTACGAAACATCTTTCAACGATTTTGTTCTGTTTTATCCGTCTTCACTCACGCACGCACGAACGCACGCATGCACGCGGACAGTCCCCACTGTAAGGCGGAGAACGAACGTTTTACGGCGCGTTGTGAGGGTTTCATGATCTACTTTATGATTCGCTTGGGGACGTTGGTTAACTTCAACGTGGTTAAAGAAAAACAAAAAAACGAATATCTTTTTATTCAATATCTGATATTGTCCTTGATCTATTTCTTCTATATCTATTTATATGGTACTTTAATCTATATCCTATCAGGTTATATTCTCTCGGGAATATAAGTGTCGGGAATAAGTGATTCCCTCTCCCAAATGGTATCGCCTACGACCTCGTTAGCACGGTGAATTTTATTCAATCAATTTTATCCGTTTTTCTTTTTTACATATTTCACACAACACACCATAGCACAATTAACGGAACGCCACCGCGGATCGGTATGTCGACGCACGCGTGCGCGTGTATTATAGGCTACGATGAATCCAATTTTGTGCCTCGGCGGGGGGGGCAGGGAGTTTACGGCTGTAGCGGGAGTTAGGAAAGTGAGCACAGGAGAAGAAACGGAAAAAGGCGAGTATATATATATATATATAGATACATATTATCAAGAGCGTCACAGAGAGGGAGAGGGTGAGCGAGAAGGTGAGAGAAGTATAACTATATTAGAATGAATAATTATGTTTAATATGTGCATCGGTGCCTGTATGTGTGCCGTTTGTGCCGTACGTGCGTTCGTCTGCGCGTGTGACTGCGCATTCGTGTGCAATCTCTGTTTGCATTATTCCCTCCCTCCGTCCCTCTCTTCTTTCCCCTCATCTTTCCTTCCTCCTCCCCTCTCATTCATTTCCCCTCAGCATTTCCCTCCCCCTCTCGCGGATAGTATCGCCCACGGCATCAGGTGCACAGTGAAAGGTTAGACAGGCAAATGGCTGGTTTTCAGCTTCAACTTTTTCACACCACCAAAGCACAAAATGTGGTTATACGGCTATAATACGCGTTTTTACAGTCACACAAACACATATACACACACATGACCGGGCGCACACACGCGGGTATATGGTCGCACGCACGCTTGCGCGTGTATTATAGGCGTAAATTCACATTTTGTGCCTCGGGGAGTGAAAAAGTTTCGGCTGAAATACGGTCATTTTGCTGCGAATGTTTTTCAACGCTTGACTGGTCACGGGCGAACTATCCGCGAGAGGGGAGTAAGGAAGTGACAGAGGGATAGGAATTGTCGCGTCCGTAATGTGCATATATGTATCTATGTAAAACCACCTGGCTCTAGACGAGTGTCTCGTTAGTACATCTAGTTAGAGCTCTAGCCTTTCATTTGTGAAACCGGGGTTCGAATCCCCGTTAATTCTTTGCTAAAATATTTTCTAACTTGTGTAAAGGTAAACGTATTGCAGACATGTATGCAAAGCATATTACGAACGCACACACACACACGCACACACGCGCGTCGCACAATTTCCATTTCAGTGTTGAACGTGCGTGCGTGCGTTCGTAATATGCTTTGCATACATGTCTGCAATACGTTTACCTTTACACAAGTTAGAAAATATTTTAGCAAAGAATTAACGGGGATTCGAACCCCAGTTTCATAATTGAAATGCTAGAGCTCTAACTAGATGTACTAACGAGACACACGTGTAGAGCCAGGTGGTTTTACATAGATACATATATGCACATTACGGACGCGACAATTCCTATCCCTCTGTCACTTCTGGATAGTATCGCCCATGGCCAGTCAAGCATGGAAAAACTTTGACGACCAAATGGCCGTATTTCAGTCTGAACTTTTTCACCCCCAAAAGCACAAATAGTGGATTTACGGCTATAATACGTGTTTTTACAATCACAAAATCACACATACACACCCACCAACGGATGCGCACACGTGGGTGTGGTCGCACGCACGCGTGCGCGTGTATTATAGGCGCAAATTCACATTTTGTGCCTCGGGGAGTGAAAAAGTTTCGGCTGAAATACGGTCATTTTGCTGGAATGTTTTTCAACGCTTGACTGGTCACGGGCGAACTATCCGCGAGAGGGGAGTAAGGATTAAGTGATTGCTTTTATTCACTGTTAATGTTACTGCCTGACACTGATTGCTCTTGAAAAAAACATGTCATTGAAATGTCCTTGAAAAGTCATTGAATCAATAATTCACACTTTTGTGGGAACCATGATGCACATTCCATGATACAGGATCGAGCAGGAAATTGGTAGTTAAATCTTAATTACGAAGAAAGAAATAGCGGAAGATTAAGCTGTTCAAAGTCAAACGCAAGGGACGCGACGTGTCTGTTAAAAACGAAGAAATGAAATAAAAATTTCAAGGGAATTACTAGAATTGTGCGTGAAGTTAAGCGTGTGATTGTATAGAAGTTCCAACGGAGTATGTTTGACGAGGGAACGAGGGAACACCCCACAGCTCTGGATCTATCTCCTACTATTGACAACCATAACATTGAGTGTGTGTATAATTAATAATGAGAACATACGGATCACAGCAAAAAACACAAGCGACGAATGCATAATTATCCGTTTCATTTTTATTATTTTTGTCATCTCTCGTGGTGAGACCTCCATCTCGCACAATTTCGAGAATTTTTACAATGAAGTGTTGTTCTCTCGATTAGTTTTCAACAATCATCATCAACACCAATAATGAAAGATCGCGTGTTTGCACTCGTGGTAATAATACACAAAGAATAAGCATTTAATAATACTTTCTACATCTACTATACGTGAGCAATGCGCATCAAGTCATTACTAATTATCAATATAAATTATTCAACAAGTAAAATATTTAAAGAAATGTATACGTTCAGTAAAAAGCGGCGGGGAATGCAGCAATATAAAACTCATACTGGAACACACTTACACGTACATACGAATAGAATTTTCAGAGCGATTTAACCCAATGCCAGCCCCTGACCTTTGAGCGTCTGCAACCCACTCGTCCCCAGCTACATGTATAACAAACCTAACAGAACAATCGCCCCCTGGTGTGGAATATAATAGTATCACAGCAGGTGAACTTTCGAAACGCCCGCGAATCACAGGATACGGCACGATTTCCATTTAGCTAACGACTTTCTATTCTTCTGACGGGAATAAATATCTATATACACTTCTACTGTATGTACTATAATATACCTATCGCACCGTTCTACACCTTTCCTCCTGTTTAAGCCACATGATGAGAAAGACTTGCTATAGGAAGTATAAGCGTGCGTTTATCAAAAGATACGCCATGTCGAAGTTAGGTGATAACGTATAATTAATGTGTGCTAGACCAGAACGTAGAATATCTAAATCAATATTCCAAATGTCGAAGACAAATGTACATAACATGATAGTGGTTCCGGTACACGTACAACTATTATAAATTATCCTATTATATATATATATATAATAGAAAACCCGCGACAGTCTCCCTGTACTCCCTCTCTTCCTTCCTGTCGCTATCTCTCACTCGCTTCCTTCCATTTCGTGTCTCAACCTCTCTCACGTTCTTAATCACACTCACCACTCACCATGATGTCAGTTTTCTAGTAAACAACCCCTCATTTTGCATACAAGAAAGCACCATGCGACCAATCGCTTTACACGCGAAACAAATTGCGGAAAAACAACGTAATTTGCACACTTACAATAAATATAAACATCGATTAGACACGATTTGTAATAATCAATTACAATAATTATCAACACGTATAAAATTTAAAGGAAACACCGAAATACGTTCTAACTAACTAATATATATGTTATCGTGAGATCATGCGTACAAATGGCAGGTGCGCTCGACGTCTCTACCTGAACTCCTGGGGAACATTATCAGAGAATACTTATGCTTCGTGTAGATAATAGGATCCGTTGAGACCGCACCGGAGACGGGGAACGCAGGATAGCGAGCGCATGCAGGTGCTGGCGATCCCAGGCTGCGCTCACTCTCAGGTCAACTTTGAAAACGAACGCGCCGAGTATATGTCCCGTATATGTATATATCAAGAGTAGAAAATAACACTACTCTTGGTATTGTCTACTCTTGTTATATATATATATATATATATATATATATATATACATACACTCACACACACATATATATATGCGATGTATATATATATATACATAATATACATTATATCAGGAGTCTATATATATATCATATAGTACGAGCGTGACGACGCGTTTATCGTGTGTTGCCGTGATAGTACATCAGGGGTGTATAATATATAGGGGTGTATATATATATATAGAGATATATAAATATCGATATCATACACTCCTGATATCGGCTGCGTGACGACACACGTGGCGGCTAGCCATGCACATAACAGGTAGACGTTGTTCTGGCTAGCTGCCAGAGATTAGATAGCGGCAAACCAGACATGTCACCTCTGTGACAAAAAGCACGGATAAATAGTCGCCCGCACAAGGAAGGACACTTACATATGGTGCATGTCGTGTGCGTGCATGGCGTGCGCGTGCATGTGGTGGCGTGCATGGCATGTGCATCCATGTAGAGGCGTGTATGGCATGCGCGCGCGCAGAGTGTTGGTGCAGAGCGTATGCGCGCAGGGAGTGTGCGTGTAGTGAGTGTGCGCGCAGAGTGTGCGTACACGCCATACGTGGCATACGTGGCCGTACGTGGGCATAACACGTGAAGCACAGAGCTATCGAAATAGAGATAGAGTGCACCTCAAGTTCTAAGTCAGATAAAAATCACGAAAAAAATCGCGCAAAAAAACCCACTTAAAAGTGGATGTGGTCCGCTATTCAAAGTCTGAACAAACAAACAAAACACGCATGGTTACAACGTCGCAACGAACCTAGCCAAGTAAAAATAGAACAGAGTCGCGCAGTGCGCCGAAACACTTTCCGCATTAACTGGCCTTTGGATTTGAACTCTCTAGTGATTGTGCCCGACTGATAGATATATCAGTAGATCGATGATGACTGGATCACAGATATCACAGATACCGGTATACAGGAACAAACACCAACGGACACATTAATGAAATGTACTGAAAGGTCACTGCTACACACGCTAAAACTCTTACTTTGGTGGGCTATTAGTGAAAGAACCGTCATACGACGGCTGCACAAGATTTGACTGAATATTTCATTGATCTCTGAATCTGTAGCTACTTACAATTGTGTGCCCATTAGAACTTGACAAGATGAACGCTTTGGGTACATGCCAACGATCATAGAGTAACTACAACATCAACAAATAACATCGCTCGGTAAGACGAACGAGAAAAATAACAGAACTGATTTCGAGCCCAACAAGGCATGGAAGAACTAAAATAACGTACGGTAATAACAGATATATCCCTGATGGTAAAAAACACAAGGTTTGCATTGAAAGTGTGACAAGTGACATCTGATCGCTTTGAGTAGTATTTGGATTCATACTACATTCAACTCTTTGACAAATCCAGTATTCCGCTTTGGTGTAAACATTGCAATGCAAGTATTTATATACACTAGTTGTAGAATATCACATTTTCTTCGCCTAATATATAGCACACGTAGAATAAAATATGAAAAAATTGTGCATCTCTAAATCAGATGACAAAGGCCACGATTGCAACAATTAAAATAACAACAGTGCTCGAAAATGTATACATCTTCAATATCTTCAATCCAACATCATTCCTACATTTCCCTTTTCCAGACCCTCTTCCCAGTAACCACCCCCCCCCACCCCAAACACTAGCAGAGCCGTACGCAGCAAGGGGCAGCAGGGGCAGTTGCTCCCCCTAGATATTTTCAGAGTATGCTTTTTAATGGGACAAATACTGTACACTTTTAGAAATAAAATAGAAATGTGACAAAAGGTTATCTTAAATCATCAAAGAAGTATTACACTTTAAATAAAGAAATGTGAAATTGCGAAACTTTAGGGCACAGGGGGCATGGGGAGTACCTTTGCCACCCTACAGAAAATTTCCTGCGTACGGCCTTGAACACTAGCAATGTGTCATTAACAGGTGACACAACCAAAATGTCACGACCATGTGCGCATTATATTCCCTGGTCCCATCCAACGGAATAAAATACTCACACACACCACTACAACTCCGTGGCTTCTAACACACGTTCATTACGATCCAGGGACCCATTGTCAGAAACATCGTAAATAACGATTACAACAACTCCGAAACAACCGTCGCACAACATCTAATTTCAAATGTCACACACGACGTGTGAAGTTGGGTTTACACTACCGATTTTAAATGTTCTTATGTTCTATTTTCGCCAACTCGGTGTTGCCGAATTGCAAAATTGGTCCAACTCGCCAATTCGCCAACATAAAGTCGGTAGTGTAAACCCAGCTTTAGACGCACAGAGTCACAACAACTGACGACGTTTCTCGCAATGGGCATCCCCCCCCCCTCCCCGACTCTTTCATGCACCACACTTCTCTTCTAGATACAGCACCACGACCGCGCGCTCGTCGAAACTCCGCGACGACTCGATCCTGATTCCCGAACCCCCTGCAAACCTCCCCGCTGACCGCCGGACTTCTTCCCGCGCGGGAGGACCCCGTCGGACATCGTCGTCGCCGGCCGCTCACGCGTTCGCATCGAGCACGGACACTGCGATGCCAAGCTGCGCGGCGTAGTACGTCCCCATGACGACGTGCTGAGCGTGCGGCAGCTCGAACTTGAACTTGTTCACCGCGATGCACAGGTCCGAGACGAAGAAGAGCGCGGCTCCGGCGGCCGCCGCTGCCCGCGGCCACGTCCACGCTCCGTCGCGCCACAGCCGCGTCGCCGCGCGCCACACCATCAAGTCGATGAGGATCGTGTACGCGAACACGGCCGGCGCGAAGATGCCGTGTATATTCGGGTAGAGGTACGCGTACACGGCGAAGCTGAGCGCGAGGAGCGGGATGGCGGCGACGGCTGGCGCGCGTGCCGGACGCGCGCCGAACGCGACGCCGTACACGGCCTGCGC